TGTGTGCGTTCAGCCCTCACGCAGCCTCCGCGGCGGCCTTCGCTTCGTCGAGGCGGCGCGCCTCGTCCCGCCGCCGCTCCTCCCGCAGCGCCTCCACCTCCTCCCGCACCGCCCGCAGCTCCGCCCGCCCCTCCTCCCGCCCGCGCTGCTGCGCCGCCTCGTGCGTCGCCGCGAGCTGCGCCGCAGCCGCTCGCAGCCCCTCGGCCTCGAGGCGCAGAGCGTCGGCCTCCGCCACGCGCCCGCCGTCCGCCGCGTCGGCCGCGCCCGAGGCGGCCCGGAGCAGCTGCGCCTCCACCTCCCTCAACCGCGCACCAGTCGCGCCGTCGGCTGCGCCCGCGGCAGAGGCGGCGGCGGCGGCACCGCCAAGCTGCTGCAGCTCCCGCCGGAGGGCAGAGGCGCGCTGCAGGTGCGCCTCGCGCCGCTCGCGCCGCTCGCGCGCCGCGGCCGCCGCCTCACGCGCCTCCGCCTCCTCGGCGGCACGAGTGGCGCGCGCAGCCGCGTCGCGCGCGGCGATCTGGGCCCTCAGCTCCGCCTCTGCCTCCTCTTCCGCCTCGACCTCCGCCTCGTGCTTCCGCCGCGCCTCGCGCCGCCGCGCCTCGCGCGCCTCGGCGTCGCGCTCGGCCGCGAGTCGCCGCTCTTCCTCCTCCCGCTCAGCACGCGCGGCGCGCCGACGGCGTTCACGCTCGCGCCGCAGCCTGCGCTCTTCAGAGTCCGAGCCGCCGCCGCCACCATCGCTGCCGGCTGTGGGTGCACGCGACGTTGTGCGACGCTGTCGCAGAGTGAGGCCGTCGCGGCTCGCCACGAGCCGCAGGTCAATCACGGTTGTGTCGGAGTCCGAGCCCGAGGGTGCGTGGCGCGGCTGCGGCCGCCGCTTGGGCTCGGACGGAGCGCGGCTGGACCCCGAGCCGGAGGACGATCCGGAGCTGGAGACGGAGCTGGAGTCGCTGGAGCTGCCGGAGTCGTCGCTGTCGCTGTCGCTGCCGGAGCCGCTGGAGGAGCCGCTGGAGGAGGAGGAGGAGGAGTCGCTCGTCATATGTGTGTGTCTATGGAGGAGGGATGGTTGATAACGGCGGAGACGAAAAAGAATTTTAACAACGCACCCCTCGCCGACACTATGGTCGCTAGACTGAGATGAGACCGCCAGTGGATGTGGGAGTCCACCGCGCACCGCGCTGCGAGCCTGTCGTGTCCCTTGTCAGGAGCAGGAGAGCCCCACCTGTCCCCCTGATCGTCCTTCCAAAATCCTGCTCGTGCAGGTGGGGACCCTGTCCTCGTCCCATCCCTCGTTTGGCGTCTCTGTTTTCTTTCTTTCTTTCTTTCTTACTATGAGGGGCGATTGCTGATAACGGCAGAGACGAAAAAGAATTTTACGAGCTAACTCCCTCGCCGACACTGGGGGCGGGAAGGCACGAAAATAATTTAAAAAATCTGTGAAAAAGAATTTCCCTCAGCTCCATCGCGGCTTCCGCTTCCTGCCAGGCTTGTGCAACAGGCTTGTGCAACAGTCGTGCACAAAATGGCTCGACCGTCAGCCTGCTTCGCACCGCGCGAGGTCATTCTCATCGGCAACGGTCCCTCGGCGCTGGCACATCGTCTTGGTGCGCATATCGATCACTTTCCAAACGTCGTGCGCTTCAACGAGTTCCAGTCCCTCGGCTTTGAGCCGTACGTGGGCGGTCGACTGACGCTCTGGGCAATGTCTGGCAACATGGCGCCCACGCTTCTCGAAACGTACCACGAGCGTCACCAGATCCCTGTGCTCGTCGCCGTTCCACAGCGGACGTACCGAAACTGCACGTATCCGATCGTTCGCAGGGAGACGCTCTCTCGAGTGCCGCCCGCGATGCGGCATCGTGTCAACTTCACCGAGCGCGGAGTGGCAGCCGAGCTGCACGCCCGCCACGGCGTGACTTCTAGGCCAAGCTCGGGACTGCTCGTGCTGGCGCACCTTTTGCGCCACTTCCGCGTGGTGCACATCCACGGCTTCGACTTCTTTTCCGGTGGGGACGGCAAAAGTGGCCATTACTATGCCGACGGCAAGGGCGCTGCGGGCAAGGTGCACGACACGCGGCAGGAGACGCGGGTCGCACGGCAGCTCGTGGCAGAAGGCCGTGTGCTGCCCCTGAGCGAATGCGTCGCAGCCTCGCCCGTCGCACCACCGACCAATATTGTCCGACACCCTCGCCGACAAGACGTGCGATCGCTCGGTGCCCATTCTTCGGCGGCGCGATGCATGCCACGCGTGCACGTGTGCTGCACTCCTCCACGGCGGGCATCGCACAACAGAACTAGGTGGAGTCGCAACGCAGTTCCTTCCAGCAAAACTTGAATCTTGATATTATGTAACTATAATGAGGAGCTGTTTATCAAAGTTGTGTGAGCTGTGACCGCGAGAGACGGCTGACGGGCCGTCAGCCATCTCTCAGAAGGTGTCTGTTCGCACTTCGGCGGGTTGTCTGCTGTGTGTAGAGTGATTCTGAGATCAGGTTAGGCGACTGGCAGACATTTCAAAATCGAGGAGCGCTAGCGACGAGCCCCAGCGCCGGGGTTCGGGGCCGCGTAGGCCCCGAGATTTTTTGGCGCATTTGTGCTTTGAAAACACATTTTCCAAGCAAAAAGTGTGCTCTCACATCTCCACAAAAGTCGTGCTGGAAGGCCCCGTTTGCCATTGGTATATACTGTTCGATATTGCCGGTTGGCTCTCCCCCTCTCGCTCACGCCCCGCGCCCCCTCTACCCCCCCCCCCGCCCCTCGACCCGCTACTTGGTATTGCTATAGTTGTGCTGCATCAGCCTGCGGTGCGACTCGTCAGAGATCGTAAGCTCAGCTCCTGGTGCCCGGAATTGACGCTGCCACTCGAGATCATGCTCCTGAACGAAAAGTCGCCCTCACACACCTCAAAAAATCGTGCGGGACACATGGGGGTGATGCTCTGATAAACCCTCCGGATCTTCGACAAAGGTCGGATTTTTTACTTTTTTCAAAGTGCAAGGTGTGAATAAGAGGTTTATGATAGGGCTACTACGACGAACTATGCGGCAATCGACTGGGCGCCTGGCGCCCGACCACCCCCGCGCAAAGACCTCGTAGTAGCCCTCCCCGTAACCGACTTGGCCGGAGACGTGTCCTTCCAGGCCGCTGTCGCCGCGCAGAGATCGGCGCGAGCAGTCGCTCGAGGTGCTCTACTGGCTGGCGGTGCTCAAGGGGAAGGCGCACACGCTGGCCGAGGACACGGTCGTCAACACACCGACACCATCCCCGCGGGCTATCTCGTGGTCAAGGCGCAGTGGCTTCAGGCTCGAGCAACGCGAGTGCGAGGGCAAGCTTCGCTCCTACACGCTGCTCGAGGCCGAGACGCTCATCATCGTGAATCACATGGTGCGGCTGGCGGGCTTGCGCTTCTCGCCCGGGCGGCCCTGCGGACCGCCAGCTGAGGAGCGCGCGCGAGAAGCTCTATATTGGCCTACAGACGCATTACTCGCTCGAGGAGGGCGTGCTGCAGTGAAGACTTATTTTGGAGGCGTCGATTTGTGCAAAAATGTGTGTTAGAGTGCGCTAGATGGCAAAATTTTCTTCGCCTCCGGCGGGGCCGCTCGCCGCGGGGCTAGAGAGTGACTTTTGTCGATGTCGGCTAGAAGTGCTGCACGTTTTTCAGAATTTCACCCATGGGTCCCCCTATCCATCTCGTTAGAGTTTGACCGTCCTAGTACTTAGCCTATGCTCATCTCCAGGGCGGTCGAAGCCGCTCATCGCCTCATCGGTGAGGCGCCCGTTCACCCAGGCGAGGTCCGCGTCCGAGTAGCGCCCCCGCCACGGTGTGCGCCGCAGCTTCTCGCCCTGCTCGTAATAAGCCTTCGGAGTCCACTTCACCGTCCTGCCGTAGCCCGACATGCTCACCGCGAGCGTACGCGGGAGCGTCGCGCCGCCGATGGAGAGGCCCATGCGCGCCGCGAGCTCCTCGAGCTTGCAACGCAGGCGCCGCTCGCTCAGGTAGTCGGTGTCACGCCACAGCACCGCCGGGGTAGGCGATCCAGGGCCTGCCATCCGCTGCGCTGCGAGGGAGTACTCGCTCCATACGTCCACCGGCGTCTCTCGGACGCGGAACGGCCTGCACATCCCATAGGCCGCAAAGGGCTGGCGCAGGAAGGCCGAGAAGGATCTGTTGACCCCGCAGCCGGTGTACGGATGCGCGTGGATGGAGACGAGCCAAGCGAATGGGAGCTTCAGCGTGATGACGTACACGGGCGGAGGCGCGAAGACGCACACCGCCGGAAGTCCGTGCTTGGAGCAGCACCAGGACCGATCCAGGCCTTTATCGTCGAGCTGCTGCGACGACACGTCGCAGCCGGCGAACAGGTGCACGCCGCGGCGGCGGCGGACTCTCCGAGGAAAGTGGTGCAGAAGGATGCCCTCGATAAAGTTCGTTCCAGTGTGCCGCTCGCCCTTTACGGTGATGAGCCGCGCGTCCACGTCACGCCAACGGCCGGGAAGCGAGCAGTTCGAGCTGTCGGACGTAGCCGCATCCTTTATGCTGGCCGAGGGAGCGACGTCATACATGCGCCGCAACATTTCCTGCAGCATCTCCGGAAGCTGCGCGCGCCCTCACGGCGTCGAGAGAGAGGCCCGGCGCCAGCTGCCCGGGCGGCCAGGCCCTGAAGAGATGAAGAAAAACATCCGCGCAAGTGCTCCAAGTGCGCGCACGGCACGCCGCCACCACAGAGGGATTTTAATTGCGATGTCGGATATGCGGAAATAGGGCCATGTGAAACCATGAAGCGCGCGACCTTACCGAGCCGACCGCGGCCTCGGCCTCCGGTGTGGCGGCACCTTCTTGAATCCTCGCCGGTGGCACAGAGCCACGTCGAGCATTTGTGCGTCCTCTTGCCGCTTAAACAATTGGAAGCGCACCCGCGCCCAGCCCCTCCGCCTCTCCCCGCCCGTCTCCATGGCGGGAAGGCGCGCCACGATCGCAGTTATGTCGTCGCGGTAGGTGCTGGTCTCGCGCTTCCAACGCTGCGCCGCCTCCAGCACTAGCGCCTCGCACGCCCCAGCTGTCCACCGCGCGCCACGATTCGATCGGCCGTGTGCTGCGACGATGCCGCACGCCGCCTCCGAGTCGATAAACTCCCACACGCCGTCGCTCGCGAGGATGACGAAGCGGTCGCCGTCCGCCTCGGGGTCCTCCGGGTCCGCAGCGTTGATGTCAAAGCGATGGACGAGCGGAGTGGCGATCACACCGGCCATCTTCGCCTGAGTAGGGGAAGAGGGCGTGTTGGCTTCCGGCTGGACCCATCGAGGGTGGTGGCCCGACACACCTCGGGATCGCCGATGGAGCGAGACATGGCGAGGCCGATGCCCCCCGCCGTGAACACGCGCGAGGTTCTGCCCCGCGTGCCAGAGAGGACCATGCCTCCAGCAGCCTCCAGCCGCTCCCTCTCACCTGGCACGCGTCGAAACTCCTGCTGTGATTGCTCGAGGCTAGGCGGGGTAGCATGGCGCGCACCGTCCATGTCTGGCTTGCAGTCGACTGAGAGGTCTCGCGCGACGATGGCACCACCCTTTGTGGAGCCCATGACAGCCCGCGAGTCTCCGGAGCACGCTGACCAGATCGTGCACCCGTTGATGTAGAGCACCGTCGAGGTGGTGCCGCACTCTTTCGCAAACTCTCCGCCATCGCGCGCGAGCACCAGAGAGTCGATCTGCTCCACCGCAGTGATGAGCGTCTTCTTAGGCTCGGCCCGCAGCTCCGCTGCCCGCTCCTGCAGCAGACTAGGGAGTTCATTCATGACAAGGTCGGCAACCCGCTCGCCGTTCTTGCCGTGGCCGTCAAAGACGCACAGCAGCGCCTCATTCTCCGACCCGTTGAAAGGCCAGTGCACGATGCCGCGGTCCTGGCAGGGCTTTGCAGCGTGGCCAGCTTTCGAGGGCGAGACGGGCAGTGCCGACGTGCTGGACGAGACGGGGTCATGCCTACACACGGACGAGGATCGGCTCACCAGCTGCGCAGTGATCAGAAGGCCTGTGCATAGTCTCTGGTTGCGTTCGAAGGGGAGGGAGGCTCATGCGCAGCCACCGCGGCATTGCAGTCAGGCTGTGTCGCTCGGCCGTTTCGTCGCGAGAGCCCTGCCGCGATGGGTGATTCTTGGCGGCGAAGCAGGCGCAGCACTTGAGCATGCTACCGACCAATCGTGGAGCTTGGAGTGTGGCTGACAGCCTCGCCTGCGGGTCCTGGGCCACCGCAGCGCAAAAATGTGGACGCACGATCACCTGAACGTCCTCGCTCCTCCGGGTTCTGGTGGTTGATTTAGGTTCCTCTTTTCCGCGCCCCCCCCGAGGGCTGGGCAAACACTCGGTGCCGAAACACCTCTCCGACGCGCTCGACTATAGTCAGGGCACAGGGGCTCTCTTGTACGTTTTTTCTTCAAATCGCAAAATCGAGACGCCATCGCAGCCTGTGGCGTGTCACCTTACTCAAATGCGTCTGCCTTTCGGCGTCCCGCCCGCCTCCCTGCCCTACTGCGTGCCCCTCGCGCGGCTCTCTGCACCGCCCTCTCCCCAAGCGTACTCGCACTCCACCACGCTCTGCCACAGCGCGCCGAAGCCCTTGCAGCGGGCCACCAGCGTCGCCGCCCTCGCCGCACGCCGACGAACACACCACTGCCCAGCGTCCGCTACGCCTCTCGCGAAGTTTGGGAAGTGCCCATCTCGGCGCCTACACGAGAGAGAGAGAGAGAGAATAAGCTAAAAGTACACGAGGCTTTATTTACGTCCTTCCGTCCGTCTCCCCCGAGAGAAGGCTCGGTGTGTATCGCGCGCAGAGCGACGTACATACACACAGCCACGAGCGACGACGAGGAGGTACGGCGCCGGCGGCGCCGGCAGCGGGAGCAGGCCGCTGCTTGTAGAGCAAGGATCAGATTGCGGGACGCCGTTCTGGGCAAACCCCTGCCCGTCTCGTTGCCGCGGTGCTCGACAAGGCGGGCATCGCGCATAGCGCCGAGGCCCCCGGCACCGGCGCCGAGGCCGCTGCGGCAGCGACCACTGCCGTAGTCGAGGCCTCCTGCTCCGCTGCCGCTGGCGCAGTGCTCACGGTCTCGCCGCACAAGAAGGCCGTCCTCGTGACGGGCGAGACGCAGAAGGTCACGGAGCTGCTCAAGGCGCTCAAGGGAAGCTGGAACAAGGGCCTCGGCGGCTGGTGCTTTCCGGGCTCGCAGCGCGCGGCGGTGCTGGCCGCGCTGCGCAAGGCGAGGTCACCCGAGATACCCGAGGTCACCGCGCCTCGCCAAGTCGCCCTGTCGCCGCCGAGAACCCGGCCGATAGCTCCCGAGCCCGTGCGCCGCGTCACCTCACAGCTCGACCGTGAACAGGACCCGACCAACACCGTGACGGAGGGCGAGGCGGCGGCACAGCCGCCTGCGAAGCGGCAGAAGGGAAGCGCCGCCTCCGAGGGTGGCTTCGTCAACGACGACGACAGCGAGTGAGCCCCTGTGCGGGCGGCAGCGGAGCATCGGGAAGGCGGGGCGGCACCAGCCAGCTGCAGTCCGAGAGCAACAGGGGGGCTGCATTTGGGTCGCCGGCTCAATGGAAGCGGCTCAACGGGCGGATCGCCATGCGGCCGTTCGCCACTCGCCGGAGGGTGCGCCGCACGGCCCCTTCCTTTGAGCCGCTTCTCGAGCAGTCGGGCGCCGCCGCAGGAAGCTCTGGCATCGCGCGGCATCGGCGCACGCAGAGTCTGTGAGGTCGAGACCTCGGAGAGGCCGTGCATTTGGCTCCCGCGCTCGGTACCGCCTGAGGGCCGTCTCAGACGGTACCACTCGACGAACGGTGTCCGCCCCCGCTCTGGCTTTGCGTGTGTTCTGCGACCAGGGGACGTTTTGCGGTATGCAGAGAGATTGCGATGT